TTTATTTTTATAACATCTCTACACATTACAAATGATAAATGTACCTTAATGGAACAGCTCTAAAGTGGCCCCCTTTACTTTACCTCCACTATTGAGGGAAAATTTCCACTGAGAGATTATGTTTTACAGCCTACCATGTAGTTACAGAGATGTATCATAAAGAACCTATGGAAAGAATTACAATAATGGCAGTTTAAACCCATTTTTAAAGCATGGTATGCTCAGCAATAGCCTGGCCTGTCATATTAAAAAAAATGCTCAGACCCCCATTGGGAAACTATGCTCTGTGATGGTTTTTCAGGTTTCTTTCATATTTTTATATATTGAGGAAGAAGGATTTTCACAGCCCAGAAACTTTTATGCACACTCAAACATACTGTATACAATTATATATATACATACACACACACACACACACACTATATTGCCAAAAGGTATTGGGACAACCCTCTAAATCATTGGGTTCAGGTTTTCCAATCACCTCCATTGCCACAGGTGTATAAATTTAAGCACCTTGGCATGCAGACTGCTTCTACAAATAATTGTGAAAGAATAGGTCGCTCTCAGGAGCTCAGTGAATTCCAGCGTGGTACTGTGATAGGTTGCCACCTGTGCAATAAGTCCATCCATGAAATTTCTTTGCTACTAAATATTGGAAGCAACTGGGAAAAACAGCAACTCAGCCATGAATTGGTAGACCACGTAAAATGACAGAGTGGGATCAGCGCATGCTGAAGTGCACAGTGTGCAGATGTCGCCAACTGTCTGCAGAGTCAATAGTTAAAGACCTCCAAACTTCGTGTAACCTTCAGATTAGCACAATAACAGTGTGTAGAGAGCATCGTGGAATGGGTTTCCATGGCCAAGAAGCTGCATCCAAGCCTTACATCACCAAGTGCATCGGACGCAGTGGTGTAAAGCATGCCGCCACTGGACTCTAGAGCAGTGGAGACGTGTTCTTGCCTGACTGCATTGTGCCAAGTGTAAAGTTTGGTGGAGGGGGGATTATGGTGTGGGATTGTTTTTCAGGTGTTGGGTTTGGCCCCTTATTTCCAGTGAAGGGAACTCATAAAGCATCAGCATACCAAGACATTTTGGGCAATTTCATGCTCCCAACTTTGTGGGAACAGTTTGGGGATGGTCCCTTCCCAACATGGCTGCACAGCAGTGCACAAAGCAAGGTCCATAAAGACATGGATGAGCGAGTTTGTGGTGGATGAACTTGACTGGCCCGCACAGAGTCCTGATCTCAACCAACAGAACACCTTTGGAATGAAATAGAGTAGAGACTGCAAGCCATGCCTTCTTGTCTGACATCAGTGCCTAACCTCACAAATGCGCTTCTGGAAGAATGATCAAACATTCCCATAGACACACTCCAAAATCTTGTGGACAGCCTTCCCAGAAGGGTTGAAGCGGTTATAGCTGCAAAGGGTGGGCCAACTTAATATTAAATCCTACAGACTAAGACTGTGATGCTATTGGAGTTCATGTGCGTGTAAAGGCAGAATTCCCAATACTTTTGGCAATATAGTGTATATAATGTTTATACCAGAATAAATTGTTACACACTGATCCACCTGTGCTACTGGGCCCTCTAGAAATTTGTATGATATTCTGGGTCTGCAGTTGTGTGTTTTGGATCCTTTTCTTCTTATAACACAAGGAAATGTATGAATTATTTTAAATATCAACTTTATAAATAAACTGTGTTGACTGATGCCCTCTGTTGATGAGCATGAGTTAAAAGTCTTTTTGCCCTTTTATTTGATCTTGGATTTCTTAGATTGGAAAATAGTTGGAGAATAATAACATTAGCTGTGTTGAGATAGAATCAGTGAGCTCTTTCTTCTACGTTAAAGCCTGTGGGTGGTTTGGTTCATGTTGCATAATAAATCCCCAGCAACATCAATGACCTACCTTATCTTTTTCAAGTACATATAATCCCTACCAATTAACTTCTGTTATTGGTTTCATTTGGTCGGTTAAGTATACCTTCAACACATTTTGCAATAGCTGTTTAATAATTTAAAAAATGCCTGTTGATCTTGCTGTTAATGTTGTAAGCAGATACTTTCCTGAGCTCTCTGCCTGTGCTGACTGATATCAATTACATTGTTCCCTGAGGACTACAGAACAAATTCTCTCAATGTTATGCACAATAAGTGTGGGATGGTGTTCCATAGTTCTGTGTTGTTTCTGTTGTCCAAATACACAAAAGTTAAGAAGTGTCATCATCCTACGACTGGAAGTGTATTACTACTATGTAAAGTGAATACAGAGCCCCCACCACCACCACATACCTACACACACACGTACATACATACACGCACACATACATGCATACAGACACACACACACACACATATACAGACACATACACACACACACACACACACACATACCCACACACACACAAAACACACACACACACGTCTCCCCTCTGGCTCTTTCAGTCTGTCACACTCCATTTCTCAGCACTCTGGTCACTGACAGTTCTCCCCCTTCCTCCCACTGTTACATGCAGAGTTCTTACCAGTCTGTGGATTCTCCTCCTCCTTGAGCTCTGTCAGTCACTCTCTCCTCTCACCGTACCGAACTCGTAGCATGCTTGCACAATCCACCCTGCGGGCCCCTCCCCATCCTTTCAGGAGCCTGTCATAGGACCTCCTAAGGACTCTGGGCCCTTGAGTAGTGTGTGAGTGCTTAATGCCTGAAAGCTTATTCCGCCTCTGGTGCCGGCACCCCGCTCCATAGCCATCGGCTGTTTGATCGATCTGGCCCTTGCCCCCATGTTATTTCCACTCGCGAAATACGAGCAGGCGAGTGGAAATTTCAAGGCCGGATATACTGTATATTGTATTATAGACTTTTCCTTTTGCTTGAACTTTATTTGTTTCTACACTGTATATGAATAACTGACATGCTTTTGCACACAGAATATACATTTTATTATCAAGAATTTAAATGTTTTTTAGGGTTTCATTTCTATTATTGCTCTTTTGTGTCAATCAAATATACAGTTAGGTTTATCTATAATTACTATTGGTCTATATTATTTATTTTGTTAAGGGAGCATTTTACCACCCTTCTGGAAAGTCTCCAGTGGATTTCCATGTGAAGAGACATAAAATGTCTTTAAAATATGAATGTTAAAAGCAGAATTAAACGCTGCAATTTTTTTCTATTAAATGGGCCTCATTAGCTTGATGCCATAATGTTCTAGGTGCCCTCCAGTGCTGCGCTGTCAGTGTTCCTGCTGGTTACAGGTACTTCCATCTTCTCCCAGGCTTCCTTCTGGTTTCCATCTGTTTGGCCCCTTGAATGGCTGGACCATGATGACGTTACTCTTGCGCATTTGTATGGTGTCACATCATCATGGCACAGAGGGTTGCTGTAAATGTACACTGAGTTGTGCACCTGTGGCTCACAGTACATTACCACTGACAGGCAGGGAGAAGCATTTATGACAGAAGAGACCAAAAGAGTCTCTCCTATTATAAAAACCCTACCAGTGTTTTGTTTTGGGTTTTTTTTTAGTTCAGTTCCACTTTAACATTATTATTATTTTTATTAGTAAGAGTATTATTTTTTAATTATTCATATTCTAGAGTAGCTGTAGTGCTATTGCCAATTAAAAAACCAAAACAGTTTTAAAATAAAGATGGAAAAATGTTACAGCAACATGATACACACAAAAATCTTTTACCTTTAGATTAAGATGAACTGGGCTTTTTGGTTCAACAGGCTTATTGCATGGTTGATCCTCTGCAGTTTTGAGCTGTCTTTTAGGTGGCCGGGGAGGTGGAAGCTGTTGAGTTGGCAGATAGTTTCTCAAAGAATAATAAAAACATTCCATTAATTCTTCTAACTTATTTGAAGTAAAGAGATTGCTTGTAGGAGGGACAGAATCATTCTGTAAAACTACTGAAATGTTTAGATATTTAATAGGCAACTCAAAGCATTCCGAGACATTGCCCAACAAACTGACCAACAATACAGGTTCGTCAACTACCTCTTCCAATCTGAGAAAACGAAAAGAAGTCAAAGGGTCATTGGGTAAAGATGCATCTTTTGCTACATTTTTCACCTCACAGGGGAGTTTAGCTTTTTCTATTATACTACTGATGTTATATTTTTTGTTGCCTTTAATTTCCTCCACAAAACGACCTTCCATATACAAAGGAAGCATGATTTGTTCTGGTTCATCATCTTCATCATCATCTGCTGATTCTTTATTGCACACCAAAACATCAACTTCTTGTGTTCCATATTGACTTGAGAAGATAGTTTTGGTTTGATACAAAGTGCGTAGATGATCTCCAGTGCAGAGTGAAGGAACGTTATCATCACTGCTCTCACTGTCCTGGGTCACCACAACATTTAACTGTGTTCCTTCAACCATATTGGTCCACAGTTCATACACTGTTGAAAACTCTCTTGGTCTTTTGCGAAACTTTCCTTGATATTGCTTGTGGATGAAAAAGAACCTGAAGGTTTTACCTTTACAGGCTTTGGCCAGCACTTTTGTAGAAATAGTTTTTTTGTGGATAACAATTTTTTTTCCTTTTTGTAGTGCTGAAAAGCTGTCATTTCTCAACAGATGGTTGCATTCTGCCATATCCAGAATTTCTGCAACAACTGGAAACTTGCTTTCATGCTGACAAACGTCTTCCAAGGACAGTGGCTGAATAAAAGTGATGTTTCCACACTGGTCAGTGATATCTATTACATCTACTTCCAGACTTGATGGAATCATAACCAAACCTTTTCTCACTGCATTAGGGAAAGGAAATAATAAAATAACCACAATAACCACATACATTGCAAGGATTTCAACAAACGTTACTGGCACTTCTTTACTAGTATTCTGTGCAAGAAAGGTCTTGCCCAGGGGTGGACTGACCATTCGAGCACTAGGGCACTGCCCGAGGGCCCGGGGTCAGTAGGGGGCCCCATGAAATGCCCCTGGTACCTTTTATAGGCTTTTTTTGAGTGAGGAAACAGGGGCCCCATGATCCCCTATTGCCCAGGGGCCCCATGAGTTGTCAGTCCACCCCTGGTCTTGCCATGTCCTTTCACAAACTGACACCTTGCCTTGGTCCTTGTCCTTGGATACAACTACATCAGTAGGCTTAGTGTTGTAATATTTAAAGAGGATCTGGCATTCCCTGATGTGTGCAGGTGTCTCAGAAAGCATCTCTTAAAAAATTAGACTCATTATGCTGGGGATGCCTGCAATATCATTCAAGCACTGTTCAGACTAATGGAAAAAAGTAAGCTAATCATAGAAGAAAGAATTTTAATTTCTATACACAGTTTACATGTCCAAGGTTACTATAATTGTTGGAAAATTATATCTTAATTCCTTCACAGTTTAATAAAATTATAAGGCTGCAACCTAAAAAGGTAAAGTATTTTAACACCATTAAATTACTAAATAGATATTTTCTACAATTCAGTATAGTTTTGTAGTGATTGTGGGGGTTTTCTAATACAATTATGAGATAAATAACTTCTGGTACAAATGTGATGTGTTAAAAAACACTAATTTATACTATTCAAATGGTCAAAAACACCAGCTCTGGATAGTATACCTTCCTCTATGAGTTGTTGCTCTTTTAAAAGGAAATGCAGATTTTAAATATCGTTTCCTCCTTTATTATGTTTAAAACTGATTAATATTTTTTGAAAATATTTATATTACATTTTTTATAAAATATTACATATAAATTGGCATATTTACACAACCAGCCAGTGCAAGGCTCCTTTCCATGCATGTGCTTTTAAGCTACTCTCAACTGAAAAATAAATGGTGTATAAAGGGCTCAACAGCTCTAGCTTCAACTTATAAACACAATAGAATAGTCAAAACAGGGACTTTTTCTACTCCCCCTTCCATTATGTGCTGCTCAGATGGCATTTTAATTGCACTCATTCCTCCCACTGATACCAACGATGGTGCCCCATCATTCATTAGTGTCAGTGTGGGAGGAACAGTGCCCTATCATTGGTGTAGTGGGAGGAATAGTGCCCCATCATTGGTGTCAGTGGGAGGAATAGTGCCTCATCATTGGTGACAGTGGGAGGAATAGTGCCCCATCATTGGTGTCAGTGGGAGGAATAGTTCTCCCATGATTGGCGTCAGTGGGAGCAATAGTGCCCCCTCATTGGTGTCAGTGGGAGGAATAGTGCCCCCTCATTGGTGTCAGTGGGAGGAAAAGTGCCCCCTCATTGATGTCAGCGGGAGGAATAGTGCCCCCTCATTGGTGTCACTGGGAAGAATAGTGCCCCATCATTGGGCTGCCGTTCTGCCCCCCTGAAAAGTGCTGCCCTAGGCAAACGCCTGGTTTGCCTTGCGGCAAATACGCCCCTGCTCCACAGGCCGGTGCTCCAACGAGTGCTGAAGGGGTAGAGCAGAGAGCCAGTGACTGACAGTTACCACTTTCTGCACAGTGAAGACTGAGAACTGAGCATTCAGCAGTCATGTAATCACTCATGTAGTCTTAAAGCCGGTGGGTGACAGTGGCAACATAGGACAGCTGCTATCCCACAATTCTACTTTCAATAATCTGGCTTCTGCAAGGCAGAACACATAATGTGGACAAACGGGGCTGCTGATAAGGGGGTACCACTGGTGCTCCTGTACGGGACCTGGGCCACATCAGTTTAGCAGGGGGTCCAGGCAGCAGGAGGAATTGGATCATGGACATCGATCAGAGGATCAATTTCTGTAATTGCCCACCACCCCACTGTACCGATCACCCCCTTCTGTTCGTGATCCGATTTCCCATGCCCCTGCTGCCTAAGACCCTCTGTGTGCCCCCCCCCCCATCTCCAACAGTACTGCTACACTGCCAGCTTCTGCTCCCTCTCCCTCCCGCCGGCTTTCAGCTGCTGCAGAGGGAAAGTAGAGAGGATCTGGTCTGGTAAATGCCCCCCCCCCTCCGCCATACCAATTTCCCCTACCTGTAGATGATTTATTTTCCTCTGATGCTGTGTGCCCCTCCAGCACTGTCAGTTTCCTCTCTTTTTCACCGGCTGCTGTGGGGCACAGGAGATCACTTCAGGATGGAGGGTGGGGGTAGGGGCCAGTAAATATATTTATAATATATTTACCGGGCCCTTCTTTTTCTGAATGAACACAGTGAGTGATACTGATCACTCACTGTTCTCATTCATAACTGAAGCACAGTAAACTGTGTTTACTATGCTTTGGTTTATGAATGAACAGGAGCCTCCTTACAGAGTGCTTCCTGTTCATTCATATGCAATGCAGTTAAGGCTGCAAAGAAAGGATTGGAGATCCGTGTCCCCAGTCCTTTTCTCTGTCTCAAAAGTGAGATGTCAGGGGTGTGTTTAGACCCCAAGCCCCCCAACAGCATTGTGAAAAAATAATTGTAAAAAATAATTTAAAAGTAGTAAAAAATAATGAAAAAAAAAAAACACATTTAAAAAATAATTTAAAAAAATGTGAAAATAAAAAAGTAAAAATATTTTTACAAAAATCCAAACTGAAAAACAAACAAATAAGGGCTCATTCACACATGTTCTCTGGCCCATACAGTGTGAATGAACAGTTTGTTCATGCATCTGGAGCTGCCTGTTACTCTATGGGGACACAGGGGCTATACAAACACATCACAGGTCTTAATTTCACAGTTGTGCAGTGCTGGTAAGTAGCCCTGAATACACACTGTGTTTGGGGCCATTCACCTGCACCGACACATCTGTCAAACTAGGACCTGGGGTTGTGCTCACACAGCTACTGCATCCCAGTAGCATACCATAGATTACCTGCACACAGCTCCAGCCACATAAAAAAAAAAATAAAAAAAAAATATCACACTGTACAGGCTACAGTACCAAACACCTCTTTCACACAAAAAACTTTATGTATTAACTCAATAAGGTTTTATCTTTTAGATTTATTAGGGACTTTGTAAGTTATGTTGTATTTGTGCTCACTAATAATGATTCTAGTATATTTTAGGCAAAAATACTGTTGTTTTTTTTAGGGGGAGCTGCCAGGTAGGCTGTACAGGGCCCCGTGATTTCTATCAGCAGCACTGCAGCTGAGGCTTTAGAGAAAGGATTGGGGATCTAGTCTCTCTCTCTTCTCAAAAGTTTAGACCCCTGATATTTCACCAAAGCCCCTCAACAGCACTGTGGAAAAGAAATTGTAAACAATAATAATAAAAAAAAAGTGAAAGATGATGTAAAACATTTTTTTAAAAGTAAAACAATTGTAAAAAAAAAAAAAGTAAAAATTGTAAAAAAAAAAGTAAACAATTAAAAATGTAGAATATAATAACAAATAAGTAAAAAAAACTAAAGCCTCATTCACACTGGTTCTTTGTCCCATACAGTGTGAATGAGTGTATTTTTAGCAAAAATATTTTTTGGGGTTTTTTTTGGTCAGTTAGGCTGTGCGGGACCCATTGATTTCTAACATAAACCCTGTGGACAAACTTACTGCAACCTAAAATTAACTGAATTGGCCATTTTGTTACACTCCACAGCTTCCTGAATCTGCGCTAGAAAACTTAAGGCAGAACTGCATGTATATGCTAGCAGGTGTAATTGAGTGAGGAAAAACACTGCAGCATTTATTATGGACTGAAGATGAATTTCACACTGTGAAAAAAAACACAGGGCTTTTTGTGAATGGGCAAGAAGAGATGAGATAGAAGGATAGGGATGCAACTGGCTCTGCCATTGCCCCAGCTGCTGCTCTCATCCCTGCAGCACTCAAATATCCAGTGCTCTGTGTAGGAGCCAGCTGGTACAAAGCTATGAATTTTACAAAAAGCAACAGCCATCTCTTCACAGTATACATATTATTAGGGCTAACATACTGATAGAGAAACTTTTAAAATAAACATTTTTCCAGGAGTTCAGCGTTACCATAATACAAGATATTACAGAAAGAAACAAGTCACATAGATAATAGTAAAGACAATAGAAAACATAAGCCAAACTGAAAGATCTGTGTCTACCTGTTTTAAATGGAAATAAATTCAGTATAGACACATATATATTTAGTTATTTACCATGAGCTGATAATATACTTACTATTCATGACTGTTTTAATTTCATATACTGGACAGATCCTATAGGCTCCCGGACCTATCGGATTGCATGTAAAGGCACGTTTTAGTAAAGCTGGAGACTCCAAGACCTGCACAAGTGTATATGACTCTGTATTTTCACACTCATAAAATTGTCCTTGTGTGCATAAGGGGATTGTGATGGAGTATGAATGAGGATCCTCATAGACATGGCATTCCGCACAACCATTTTGTCTGTCAAATGACACAAAGTAAAGACGAAGATTCTGACGAATAACATGATTTTCCACGGTGAAATCACACATGGAGGTAAACCAATATGGAAATATGTGATCGCCACTGGATAATTCCGCATGTAACATCTCAAGAGTGCTGTATATGCCTTTATGTGCATAGGCTTCAAAGACACCTGGAATACAGATATTAATAATATTATACAGTATTTATATAGCGCCAAAAGGTTTGCTCAGCGCTGTACATTATAGTGGAGGACAGTACATGAGACAATACAGTAACAATACAATACACAAGGGGTTCAAGGGTCCTGCTCTTTCGAGCTTACAATCTAGGATATGTTATTAAACTAAATAATCTGAACACATTTTACTATTGTAATGCATTGAATGTTAATACCATATATGCATCACCAAAGTATAGTATATTGCAAATAGTATGTCCAAAACTAAACCAGTTAGACATAGTAAAGTTACTTAAACTTTTAAATGCCCCCCACCTCTTCACCTCATCCAATCAGAGAACACTTTGCATTAATTGAAAATGCAAAGTGTTCTGTGAATGGCGCCCATGCCAAGTGAGCCACATCCCCTGTGTTCACTATGAAGCAGGGCAGCCACTTAGGATGGAGTAGCTGGCGGTGATCACTGCAGTAACGGTGCCTACTACAGTGATTTCCAATTTCCACAGGGATTGGCTACATATGGCACATGAAAACCTAAATTATTTTAAGCTGGACCAATGTAACTAAGCAAAAAAAACATCCAGACTTCAGATTTAAAACCCCTTATTTTTGGTGGTTTGGTCTGTCCCCAAACCATATCATATCAAATCTACCCCAAATGTAATGAAGTCAGTTTGAGAGTTACACACAACAA